CCACTGCGGCTGCCATCGCGAATGCGACCACGACTGCGAGAACAGCAGAATTCTACAACAGGATTCTTATCTGAATCTTAAGGGGAATGCTTCCAGATGTGCTCCTACACATCGCTGTTAGGTTGCTTTGCCGGGATAATCCCATAGGAAATCAATGAGTTTGGCCTCCTGGTGGCCTCTTGGGACGCGTCTTGGGGGCCTCTTGGGGCTTCTTGGGGGGCTCTTGAGGCCGGCGGCCTCCTGGGAGCGTCTTGGGGCGAACGGTTAAACTTTTCGGCTAGTGGTCCCCCTCTTGGGGCCGTCTTGGGGCCCTCTTGGGCCGTCTTGGGCGCCTCTTGGGCCGTCTTGGGGCTCTCTTGGGCCGTTTGGGGGGCCTCTTGGGAGCCTCTGGGGCCGTCTTGGGGCGGTCTTGGGGGCCTCTTGGGCCGTCGTCAGCGCCGTGAAAGCCGAAAAGCCGTATATGCTAAAAATGCACGTGATCCTAAGGAAAATCAATGAGTTTGGCCTCTTGGAGCCCTCTTGGGACGCACCTCGAGCACATCGCGGGGGCCTCTTGGGGGCCTCTTGGGCCGTCGGGGGCGGTCTTGGGCTCTCTTGGAGCGCTCTTGGGCCGTCTTGGGGGGGGAACACGAAAAACATGCAAAAACCCTCAGGAAAACCCCCAAAACTGTCATTAGAGCCCATTCCCTCCACCTACGCCCCCCCTGGAAACCCCCCTTCCCCCCCTTAAGGGCTTCGCCCACATCAGAACGTCATCGCTCGTACCTCGCTCTTTCCGTTACCTGGCCCGGCACAGAAACGGAAAGAGCGCTGCAGAAACAGAAACCGAACTTACTCACACCACCGTTCGTACCGGAAGCCTTGGCGTTGAGAGCTTGTTACATCACCCCTCGCTCTTGGGAGCCTTGGTGTTCAGAGATTGTGGCGTTGCCGCCCGTTCCTGAGCCTTGGCTGGGCCTTGGTGTCAGGAACTTGTTACGTCACCGCTCTCTGCTGGGAGCCTTGGTCTTATCAGCTTGTTTACGTCACCGTTCGCTCTCGGGAGCCTTGGCGTGAAGGGCTTTTTGCGTTACCGATCGCTCTCTATTTGGCGTCTCTGGGCCCTCTTGGGGGTCCTAGCGGGGCCCTTTTAGAACCCTTTTGGAGCTTCTCGGGGCGCTCTGGGGGCCTCCTGAGAGCTTCTTGGGGCGAAAGGCTAGACTTGTCGGTTCGTGGTCCCCCTCTTGGGGCCGTCGTGGGGCCCTCTTGGGCCGTCTCGGGCGCCTCTTGGGCCGTCTGGGGGCCCTCTTGGGCCGCTTTGGGGGCCTCTTGGGAGCCTCTTGGGCCGTCTTGGGGCGGTCTTTGGGGCCTCTTAGACCGTATTCAAAGCCGTGAAAGCAGAAAAGCCGTGTATGCTAAACATGTACCTTTTCCGATAGGAAATCAATGAGTTTGGCCTCCTGGTGGCCTCTTGGGACGCGTCTTGGGGGCCTCTTGGGGCTCCCGGGAGCGTCTTGGGGCGAAAAGCTAAACTTTTCGGTTCGTGGTCCCTCTCTTGGGGCCGTCTTGGGGCCCTCTTGGGCCGTCTTGGGCGCCTCTTGGGCCATCTTGGCGCCCTCTTGGGCCGTTTTGGGGGCTTCTTGGGAGCCTCTTGGGCCGTCTTGGGGCGGTCTTGGGGGCCTCTTGGGCCGTCGTCAACGCCGTGAAAGCCGAAAAGCCGCATATGCTAAAAATGCATGCTTTCCGGGGGAAAATCAATGATTTGGGCATATTGGGGCCCTCTTGGGACGCCCCTTGAGCACCTCTTGGGGGCCTCTTGGGGGCCTCTTGGGCCGTCTTGGGCGGTCTTGGGCTCTCTTGGAGCGCTCTTGGATCGCTCGTACCCCGTTACCTGGCCCGGCACAGAAACGGAAAGAGCGCTTCAGAAACATAAACCGAAATTACTCACACCACCGTTCGTACTGGGAGCCTTTGCGTTGAGAGCTTGTTACGTCACTCCTCGCTCTTGGGAGCCTTGGTGTTCAGAGATTGTTCCGTTGCCGCCTGTTCCTAAGCCTTGGCTGGGCCTTGGTGTCAGGAACTTGTTACGTCACTGCTCTCTGCTGGTAGCCTTGGTCTATCAGCTGGTTTACGTCACCGTTCGCTCTCGGGAGCCTTGGCGTGAAGAGCTTTTTGCGTTAACGATCGCTCTTAATTTAACGTCTCTGGGCCTTATTGGGAATCCTATGGGGGCCCTTTTCGGGCCCTTTTGGAGGCCTCTTGGAAACCTCTTGGGGGCCTCTTGGGGGCCTCTTGGGGCTTCTTGGGAGGCTCTGGGGGCCTCCTGGGAGCTTCTTGGAGCGAAAGGCTAGACTTTTCGGTTCGTGGTCCCCCTCTTGGGGCCGTCTTGGGGCCCTCTTGGGCCGTCTTGGGCGCCTCTTGGGCCGTCTTGGCGCCCTCTTGGGCCGTTTTGGGGGCCTCTTGGGAGCCTCTTGGGCCGTCTTGGGGCGGTCTTTGGGGCCTCTTAGACCGTATTCAACGCCGTGAAAGCCGAAAAGCCGTGTATGCTGAAAATGTACCTTTTCCATTGGAAATCAATGATTTGGGCCTCTTGGTGGCCTCTTGGGACGCGTCTTGGGGGCCTCCTGGGGCTTCTTGGGGGGCTCTTGGGGCCTCCTGGGAGCGTCTTGGGGCGAAAAGCTAGACTTGTCGGTTCGTGGTCCCTCTCTTGGGGCCGTCTTGGGGCCCTCTTGGGCCGTCTTGGGCGCCTCTTGGACCATCTTGGCGCCCCCTTGGGCCGTTTTGGGGGCCTCTTGGAGGCCTCTTGGGCCGTCGTGGGGCGATTTGGGTGGCCTCTTGGGCCGTCGCCAACGCCGTGAAAGCCGAAAAGCCGTGCACGCTAAAATACATGTTTTCCGATTAAAAATCAATGATTTTGGCCTATTGAGGCCCTCTTGGGACGCCCCTTGGGCGCCTCTTGGGGGCCTCTTGGGGGCCTCTTGGGCCGTCTTGGCGAAAAACATGCAAAAAGCCTAGGGATAACCCGAAAACGGACATTAACACGCATTCCCTCCCCCTACCCCCCCCTCTGCACTCCCCCTTAGAGACTTCGCCCTACACCAGAACGTCATCACTCGTACCTCGCTCTTTCCGTTATCCGCCGCCCCCTGTCGATTCATCGCAGGGGTGCCTGACGTGCCGAACCCTATCGGTTTTGGTTTTAGTTCCGAAAAACCTCCTCCTGGGGCTTCGGCCCATCCCGCCGGGTCCCGGGAGATTGCCGAAAACCCGGTTGCAAAAGTTTTTCCTGCTTCAAACGTCTCCAAGACGGCCCCAGATGGTCCTCAAGATGCATCAAGACGGCAAGATGGCTTCCAAGACGGCTAAGACGGCTCCAAGATGCCTCCAAGACGAGCCAAGATGCACTCAACACGGCCTAAGATAGCCTCAGCATGGCCCCAGACGGCCCAAGAGGCCTCCAAGACGGCCCAAGACAAGAGGTCCTCCAGGAAGGCCCGAAGAGGCCGAAATCATTGATTTTCCTTAGGTTGTTGAAGGATGTTGGGATTTGCTTCTTCTCGGCATTCCGACGGCCCAAGACGGCCCAAGAGGCCCCCAAGATCGCCCCCACAGCGCCCAAGAGGCCTCCAAGATGGCCCCATGACGGCCCAACAGGCCCCAAGAGGGCCCCAAGAGACCTCCAAGACGGCCAAGATGGCCTCCAAGACGGCCAAGATGGCCCAAGATGGCATCCAAGACGGCCAAGATGGCCTCCAAGTCCGCCCAAGAGAGGAGGAGATGCCTCCAAGTCCGCCCAAGAAACCTCTAAGACGGCCCAAGACGGCCCAAGAGGTGCCCCAGAGGCCTCCAAGCAAGACGGCCCAGGAGGCCTCCGAGAGGTCCACCAGGAGGGCCCGAGGAGGCCGCAATCATTGATTTTCCTAAGGTTTTTGACGGATGTTCGTATTTGCTCCTTTTTCTGCTTTCCGACGACCTAAGACGTTCCAAGAGGACTGCCCAAGAGGCCCCCAAGACGGCCCCAAGAGGGCACAAAGACGACCCAAGAGGCCTCCAATACGCCCACGATGACCTCTAAGGCGGCCCTGGAGCACCCCAAGAGGGCCCCAAGTCGGCCCAGATAGGCCCCCCAAACGGCTTCCGACGGCGTCAGACGGGCCAGGAGCCCACCAAGATAGCCGAAGTTGGCTCGAAGCTGGCCCAAGACTGCCCAAGAGGCATCCAAGAGGGCCTCCAGGAAGGCCAAAAACATCGTTTGTCTTAGGTGTTTGAAGGTTTTTGGCATTTGTTCTTTGTCGGCCATCCGAAGGCCCAATACGGCCCAAGAGCCCCCGAATGATCGCCCAAAGATCGCCCAAGAGGCCTCCAAAATGGCCCCAGAACGGCCCAATAGGCCCCCAAGACGGCCCAGGAGGCTTTTAAGACGCCCAAGATAGTCTCCAAGACGGCCCTGGAGCATTCCAAGAGGACCCCAAGTCGACCCAGAGGGGCCCCCCAAACGGCTTCCGACGGCGTCGGACGGGCCAGGAGCCCACCAAAACGACAGATGATGGCCCTAAGGTGGCCCAAGAGGCTTCCAAGAGGCTTCCAAGAGGGCCTCCAGGAAGGGCCGAAAAGGTCAAAATGATTGATTTCTTATGAGTTTTTGAAGGATTCTGGCATTTGCTTTTTTTCTGCCTTCCGACGGCCCGAGACGGCCCAAGTGCACCCAAAGATCACCCAAGAGGCCCACAACGGCCCCCAGAGGCCCCCAGGAAGGCCCAAGACCAAGACGCTCAAGATGGCCTCCAAGACGGCCCAAGAGCCCTCCAAGACGTCCTCCAAGAAGGCCCGAAAGGATCAAAATGGCCCCCAGGCGGCCAAGATGACTTTCAAGATGCCCACGTGTTCCCCGAAGGCTCTCCAAACCGATTCGGGGAACGCATGGTCCGATAGCTTGGCAGGTCTGGCCTCAACGTTCGGCCACCTAGGCGCTTCCAAAAAGGCAGGGGGCGGCGGTGATTCGCCGTAGGCGTCTAAGATACTCTGGGACTGACGGGCGGGCGAGGGCGTAGACGACGTCCCCGATCAGGCACCACGTCACACCGAAGCCGTAGTACTTCCAGAGCCTGCGCCGGCTGACAGGTGAAGACAGATACTCTTCTGTCAGAGTCGTTGCCCAAGATCGATACCAAAAAGAGGACCAGGCGGCGCAGCATCCATTGCCATCCACTGGCAGCTGGCGCCTGCTTGCTCCCAACAGGGGCTCCGTATGCATTCCTGCGGGGCCGTTCTCCACTGCAAGGCCCACGCCCCTGTGAGGAGACGGGCTCCCGGTGGCGTTCGGCAGCCGGCCTCGAGCTGAAAGGCCACGAGTGACTCTTGCCGCAGGCAGCGGAGCACGTACACCCCTGCTGAGAGTTGAGAACACTTTAAACTAAGGACATGGACTTCACTCCAAGCGTTTCTTTAAGCAGCAGTCAAGATACATATGTAGCAATCCCATACGAAAAACAACAAAACGAAGCTCCAAGAAAACGCACACGATCCAGTCCAGAATCTTGATTTTCGTAAGCGAAATCTGGAGTCCATGAACGTTGAGGTGGTTTCTTACGATTCCTGATTGGTGTGCCGCATCGACCACCCTTCGGGAGAGAAGGAGATTGGGAGGGGCGATGAGTGCAGCTTTCGCTCTGCGATTGGCGTCGGATTGAGTTCGCGATCTGTCTCTCCAGCGATCTCGATACTTGTAGATCGATCTGTCTATCGGTCTCTCTGTCTGCCGATCCCACTACCAATCGATATGTCGACCTAGCTATATACATACAGACAGACAGAGTGTAGCGGCAAAGGCCTCCGGAAATCCATCCGACCGATAAGCCGATAAACCGATCAACCGATAACCTTTATCTGCGAACATAGACACGATGGCCGGCGCGCTATCTTTCTCTTCGTCGGTTTATCGGCTTATTGGTTTATCGGTTTATCGGTTTATCGGCTCATCGGGTGACTGGCTGGTCTGAAACCGCTGGGGGCAACCCTGAGGAGTCGATCCTTGCGCCGAGTATCGGTTTACCGGTTTGCCGGCTTATCGGTTTATCGGCTGGTTGTCAGGCTCCCGCCGCGACGACGACGGCGACGGCTCTGGGGCGGCTCTCCCTGATCAGCGTGAGTTTTGTGATTGGCTCTAATGCGGACGGAGTTCTGCAGGGGTCCGAGCTTCCCCCGTTGCATACGATGATCTGCGTGGTAGTGTAGGCCCTGCGAGGGTTTCACGCGACAGTGGTCGAACCAACTTGGGGCAGGGCATATCCGAGCTCAGAACTCTTAGGATGTTGAAGGAGAAAGTGGCCTGAGCTGAGCATTCAGCTCAGGGCATCTCAAACCCGAGGGTTACGAGGATGTCTCATGCAAAAGTAGCTTGAACACGTCAGCTTTAAGCGTCTCGGAATCCACTGTTGCGAAGATGTCGCAGGCGAAAATGGCCGGACCGCCATGGGGTAGGGCACCATCTAAGTTAGAGGTGCGAAGGCATATCAGGCGAAAGTGGCCTGAACACCGTATCTCGCGGCAGATCCTGTGTCAGACTACTCCAAAGCAGGGTGCATCTCAGGTCAACGCTGCGAGTTTGTCTAGGCGGAACTGGCCAGCACAATTTGGGGCAGGGAGTGTCTGAGTCTAGCGTTGCGAGGATGACTCAAGCGAAAATGGCGCGAATATCTTTGCTCAGGGCATCCCGGATCCCACAGCTGCGAGGATGCAGCAGGCGAAAGTGGCCTGATCACCATGGGACTGGGGGCAGGGCAACTCCGCGGTCAGACATGCGAAGATGTCTGACGCGAAAGTGGCCTGAACACCTCAACCCTGGGCGCCTCGGCAACCAGTTGCGGGGATGTTACAGGCGAAAATGGCCAAACGACCATGGGGCACCTCCGAGGTCAGATTTGCAAGGATATCTTAAGCGAACTGGTGAGTCCACCTCAGCCGAGGGCGTTTCAGAATCTAGAATTACGAGGATGGTTCTGGCAACAAGGCTGGACTACTATAGCGCAGGGCATCTTAGAATCCAGACGCACGAGGATGGCTCAGGCGACACATCACTTCAAAGCATATGGGATCCCAGAACGCCGAAAATGTTTCAAGCGGAATGCGCCGAAGTTGTGAAGATCTCCGTGGCGAGTTTCTTTTGGAAAATCACATGTCGTGGCGCGTTGGAACCCACATTTCCGGAGATGTCTCGCGCGAAACGGGCCTCCTCCTCCTCCTCCTCCTCCTCCTCCTCCTCCTCCTCCTCCTCCTCCTCCCTTTGTTCTACCTCCGCCTCCTCCTCCTCTTCCTCCTCCTCCTCCTCCACCCCTCCGCTGGCCGAGCCGCGCCGAACCGCTGGCGGGCCGACCGAAACGGGGAAGAGGGCGAGGACGAGGACGACGACGACCGACGACGACGACTGCTACGACGACGACGACGACGACGACGGCGACGGCGGCAGGCCCCGCATCACGAAACGTCAGCTCGTATCCTCCCGTCGCTGTCGCTGTCGCCATAGCCGCGAATGTCACCAGCGCCAGCAACGCGGCGATGATGATGACGATGACGACGGCGGCGATGATGATGTTCATGATGGCGACGAGGGAAATGTTGATGATGATGGCGATGGTGATGATGAGGACGACGATGACGATGATGATGATGATGATGATGATGATGATAATGATGATGGCAATGGTTCTTTTCTCCTAAAGCGGCGATGTTCTGGAGCACGCACTTGTATTCCCGCTCTTTTGGCGGGAAAGTGTACCGCTCTACTGGGACAACCCAACTCACGCTTGGCGCCAGTTGCCTGCGGCTATCGTTTTGCACCGCCACCGTACCCCGAGGCACGAGATCGAGTGTTCTCAGGCACCCACGTAGTCGCAGTCTTCGCGATCAAGGAGCCCAGGCAAATCTCTCATACGGGCGCCAGACGGGGCCCAGACGTGGGCCCAAACAGCCCCCAGGAGTCTTCACGGAGCCCCAACACGTTTCCAGAGGTTGTTCAAAAGAGGCCCGGGCAGCTCCGGGAGGCTCCTCAAAAAACTTCAAGAGGCACCAAAGATGCACCCGGAGGTTCCCGAAAGCGCCCCGAAGAGATCAGAAGAAATACCCCTGTGGATTGTGACCCAAACTCGGGCATTGCGGCGGCATGTGCCGGTGGCCGTTAAATACTTCCAGATCGCGCAACTCGAATACCCAATGAAAAGAACTTACCCGCCATTGCGCGCCCTGGCATTTTGAGGCGTGCACGAATGCCGCGTGCTGTCTGGATGGGTTTATGCGATCTTCTCGACGTCTCCCAACGACGCTCCCGAAGACGGCAAAGACGGCTCCAAGACGCTTCATCATCATCCGCGTTTTCAGCATCATGATCATTACCACCCACATCACCACCACCACCGTCATTATCACAGTCTTCGTTCACATCATCATCATTTCCATCGCCACCACCATCATCTCAATCTCACCACCAGCATCATCATTGCGACCATCATCATATCCATTATCATCATCACGACCGCCATCGCGACGTCGATCCCGCGCGCCCAAACACGCTCTCCTCCACCTCCCCCGCCCAGCCTCTCTCATAGACAATGTCCTCGTCATCGCCGGCATCGCCGCCCTCGACGGATCGAGAAGCTGCCATCGACCATGCTGGGTTGGCACGGCGGCGGGGTTCGCCGCAGGCAGCTGGATCCAACGCGGCGCTGCGGAAACCCATCGAGGATGTTATCCGCCACCGCGCTCTCATGGCGCGCACTGGGGCGTCGCCAGGTCTCTGGCCCCAAATCCTGGACCTCACTCATCTGTCTCGCATGTTCTTTTCAAGGCCCGCGGGCTTCCCCGACTGGCCTTTTTCTGGCTCGCCTTTTTTTCTGGGGAGGGCGCAGAAACCGCAGAACGAACCAGGAACGCCCCAAGAGGCCCCCATGACAATCCGCGAGGACCCCGAATCGCCGCGCCGTCGGCCACGGACGCCCAAGTTGGCCCGCAGGCGCCCGACAACTCTTTTGGGTTGGCCCAAGCACATTCGAAGATTGACGACTACCCACAAAAAACGTTTCCAGGACATAAGAGATATAGATTTGCACAGGTCCCGAATGACATTGGCACTCTCGCCATTTCGTCGCGCCGACGCGCCAAGACGACCTAAACAGTTCCCGAATCGTCGCGAGACGGCCCAGGAAACTTCGAGGAGGCGCCTGCGACGGCCCCGGATGGTTCCGAAAGGCTCCAGGAAGGGGCCACGCGGAGGACCCGATCAAACATTTCGAGTTTTCGGATCCAAAGAGCCCCGCCGGGCCCCAAGAAAAGCCACCGGGGAGCTGCGATAACTCATCGTACATATAGAACAACTGCCGCGGCCCCAGGAACTATCCCGACAGAGGGAAAAGAAGAAAAAATAAAAACTGGCAAGTATCAGGGACCTCTCCCAAGGGCCATCAGCAGGTGCCTGAATTGAACCTGCGAGGCCTACAGATCGCTTCGCCAAGCTTTTTGTGTCGTCGTAAAAATTTGCCCCGCCAAGTTCCCACCCCCGCGGGGAGCTCCCGCGACGGCCCTCGACGGTTCCACGACGGCCCGAAAAACCTGCAAGACGGACCAACGGGCTCCGAAGGTGGCCCCAAGTGGGAACTCAAACGAAACGCCCAAATAAAGATTTCGAACCCCCGGCCGTAAGGAACTTCAGCGGGGCCCAATGAAGCTCCCATGAAAATGACAAAAAGTTTTGAAGCGGCACCTGAAAACTCCAAGAGGCCCCAAGGACGCCCCACAGAGGCCCGCAAAAGGTTCTGAAAAGGCCTGACCTGAAGTGGCTCCAAGATCGCCCCCAAGAGATCTGAAAAAAAGGCTTCCCTGGGAAATCTGACTCGAAACTTAACATGCTGGCGGGAGGAGCCGAAGGCTATCACATTCCTCGCAAGTAACGGTTACCGATGCTCGCCAGGCGGTGTATTTCTGCGGCGTTCAGCGGCAACTCACAGCCGGTGCCGGCGACGCGAAAAGCTTGCACCAAGCACCGCATGCGTTCGCGCTAGCGCCTGTTCGGTGATCCGCCACCGCGCCTCGACACATGAAGCGGGGTGCCCTCTGTTCATTGTTTTCAGTACGGAAATATTCGGATAATCTAGGACCTCCAAGAGGGCCCCGAAACGGCCCAGGTGGGCCCAATAGGGCTCCCAAAAGGTCCAAAGACGGGCCAAACAGTGGGAACGCAAACCGAAAATTCTAGCCGTCCGCTCCAGGAGGCCCACAGGAGGCTCCCAAAAAGTCCCGAGAGGCTCCATAGCCTTCTCCAGTGCCCCGAACAGGCACGACAGACGCCTCTGGATGACGAATATTTGCCCAGGACGCTTCAAAACTGCCTCCATGAGGCTCCCGAAAGGCATCGCGTGATAACCCAACGAACATGCAAGATGTTTCAAACTCTCAACCCTGGCACGGTGGCGGAATGAGCCGAAAGCCGGCTGAATAGCACCAGGTCCATCACGACCTGCATCAACGAGAATTGAACGTCGCACCCCTTCGATCCGCCACCATGTTCCATGGTACGCTGAAGCGTGCTAGAATGCCCAGTGCTGCGTGCTAGGGTTGCGGTGGTTTCCTAAGGACGCGTCCCTCTTACGAACACCCCCATTGCGCGCGTCGTAGCCTCTTCCCGTTGTTTCAGTTGTTTGTTTTGTAGGTCGGTACCCAGGCGCGGCCCCGGCGCTCTCCGACGCGCCCAGGCTGCCGAAGATGGTTTCCGATACGGATTCGCGAGGTCATCACAGCGGCCAAGATGGCCGAAGCTGCCTCCAAGACGGCCCGATAGGCCCTAGTATGTGTCAAGACGGTTCGGGCGAGGCCCCTCTCATGATCATCATTGTCAATTGTCACTATCATCGCCAGCATCATCACATTCATCATCATCGTCGTCGTGGACATCATCGCCATTACCCCGCTGTCGGTCAATCATCATCCTCTTGCTCCTCCTCCTCCTCCACCTTCTCCGCATCACCATTAGCAGCATCATAATCAGCAGTACCATCATCATCGTAAGCATCATCACCATTATGCTCCCCATCCTGCTCACCTGTGTTTCCTCCTCTCCTTCCCCCTATCATCATCCTCGGTGCATGGTGGTAACCGTCATCATCATCATCATCATCATCATCATCATCATCACCATCATCACCATCATCATCATGACCACCATCACAATGATCCTCATTGGTTCGCGGAGCTGCGGCCGATAATGCTGAGCTGGCACCGTGGCGGGAATTGCCGCAAGCAGTTGGAGGGACCGAGCAGCTCCTGATGCAGCTCAGGTTTATCCGCCACCGTGCCCTCGGGCGCGAATTGTAATGTCACCAGCTCCCTTGCTGGATCCTCCGAACCTCAGTCCTCAATCCCGAAGGCTCGGACATAAAATTCTTTGCCAATCGAACGCTAAGACCTGACACGGCTAAGACCCAGGGAAGAGGGAGGAGGCGGAGGAAGACTAGGAGGAGGAGGAGGGGGAGGACAAGGAGGATAGAGGACATGCGATCTTCCCCAATACGATGGGAGAGGGGAGGGGGGAGATGAGGGGGGGCGGGCCCACGCACCCTAGCTATCACGTATTGTTCTACGAAGAAGAAAAACAGTGTTCTTAGAACATAAATCCGATGTGCTAAAAACAAGACACTCCCAGCCAGAAGTGTTCCAAGAACACTTCGTGGGAACCACAAAAGGTTCTTATGATATTGTTTGGTAGGGCTATAGGCGAGCCAAGACGCTTCGCCACTGCTTGAACCCTGGCTTTGACATCAAATACACTGCGTCGCCGTCGCCGTCAAAACGACGGCGGCGACAGCGGCGGCCCGGCGACGGCAGCGGCGACGGCGACGGCGACAAAGGCGACGGCGACGACAAAAGGGGAGAGGAAGGCAGCGCGACGCGCAGTTATCTTCGCGCCCTCGCGAAGCCATCGCGAGGCCATCTCAGAGGGTAGACGTGCGAAGCACGATTATCTTCGCGCCCCTGGGGGTGACCGGGTCCCCGACAGTCGCCGAAAGCTTCCTCTTCCCCCTCCTCGTCATCATCCTCCCCCTCGTCATCCTCCTCACACTCCTCCCCCCCTCCTCCTCCTCCTCCTCCTCCTCCTCCGCCTCCTCCTTCTCCTCGTCCTCCTCGTCCTCCTCGTCATCCTCATCCTACTCCTACTGTTCTCCGCACGCTCCTCATCCTCCTCCTGCTCCTCCTCCCCCTTTTCCTCCTTACCATCCTCGCCATCATCCTCCCAGCCACGCGCGGGCGCGGGTGCGCGCGCGCGCGGGCGCAGCGACGGGGGCGACGGCGGCGGCGACAGCGGCGGCACCGGCGACGGCGGCAGCGCGACGCCCTCGTTGTCCTCTTCCCTCCTCCTCCTCTTCCTTGATCCTCCCCCTCTTCCTCTTCCCTCCGCCTCCCCCCCTCCTCCTGCTCGTTTTCCTCCTCCCCTCCTCCTCCCCTTCAGCATCATTGTCATCATCATATTATCATCATTTTCATCATTTTCATCATGTTCATCATCATGTTCATCATCATTCTCATCATCATCAGCAACAGCATCATTAACATCATCAGCATCCGCATGCTCGTTGAAGCTTTACACATATCCATAGCAGCAGGGAGTGATAGAAGTAATTGTGGTAGTTATATCAATAACAGTAGCGCCGTAGTAGTCGTCGTAGTAGCAGTAGTAGTAGCAGCAGTAGTAGTAGTAGTAGCAGCAGTAGCAGTAGGAGCAGCAGTAGTTCTAATAGCTGTGCTCGTACGATTAACATAGCAACGACGAGAATAACACATGTGCATCGCAGCGGTAGCCACAATAATACTTGCTGGTGCCGCAGTCGTATTGTTAGCATTTGTACGATTAGAAATAGCCATAGCCGCAACGATCGTTTCAAACATGCGCATAGTTGCGATAGCCTCAATAATAAGTGTGGTTGAAGTTGTGATCGCAGTAGTAGTTGAAGCTGCATTAGTAGTTGAAGCAGCCACAGTAATATGTGTGGATGTGCTGAAAATGATCGTATCAATGATTGCAACTGTTGTTGTATCAGCACCCGTAACAACAGCAGTAACGATAGAAACACATGGGGATCGTACTTTTTTGTAGCACCGGTGACAGCAGCGGAAACGGTAGTAACAAATAGGAGAAGTATTAGCTGTTATGGTTGTGGATGTAGTAGTAGTAGTTTTTGTAAGGATTCCTTGGGATCCCCGAGAGTTCTTCAGGACAAACGAGTCAACAGAAAAATTCAGAAGGATTACATCTCAGAGCGGTCCAACAAATTCTCCAGGATTCCGCAGAAAGATTCCGACTTATTACCACTCAGACAACTACGACAACTCCGAACCGATAAACCGATAAACCGATCAACCGATCAACCGATAAACCGATAAACTGGTAAACCGACAGGCCGATACACTGGTAAACGGAGACGCACACCGATAAACCGATAAACCGAAAAAGCCATACTGCACTGAGATTTGGACACGCTTGCGATGAGTCAGTGTATCGGTTGATCGGCTGATCGGTTTATCAACCGATAAACCAATATAATCATATCGTTTTATCGGTTGATAAGCCGATAACCCGATCAACCGAAATAGTTGATCGGTTTATCGGTTTGTCGGTTTTGTTTTCAGATCCTACGGCTGCAATCGACAGACAGACAGACAGACAGACATACACATACAAACATGCATGCATGCATACATACACACATTTAAAAAGACATACTCCTATATATATATATATACACGCATACATGTATGAAAACATACGTATATATACGGGTGTATACATGCACATATCTACGTGCATGCATACATGCATGCACGCATGCATACATACGAAGGGTAAAGAAACACCCCCATAATACGTAAGAATCCCTACAAGCGAAGCCATTGAATAGACGCACCTGAAGAGGGAATACGACCGGGCAGGACTGTTCAGCAATTCCCAACTATGAGGGGTCGGAATGCTTGCCCGACCTGAACCGTAGGCCATATTCACGAGTCCTCAATAGAATCAGGATTCAGCAGGGCAGTGCCCAAAGATCAGGCCAGGGCGCGCCCGCTAGGATATTTCGGAGCCCCCGTGACCCGACGCCACTGGCTGCTGGAAGATCGGCCCGACTCAGACGCCTCCGCGCCCATGAGTGGCTGGGCGGTCCAGCCTGGACAGAAGGTAACCGCTCCCCATGTGACTGATTTCTGCCGGCCCGTTTACCTGTAGGCTAGCGTCTTCTTGGGGGGCCTCCCTCCCAATCGAATGTCTGCCAAAGGCCCCAGGAGCCATCCAAAGGCCACTTCGAGGTCCGCGCAGACGATCGCTTCTTTGGATATCCTCTTCTTCTTCTTCCTCCTCCTTTTCTTCATATTATTCTTCTTGTCGTTAACATTAGCACTACGCTTAATGTGTCTCCCGACGTTTGTATTGATATGATTTGTATTATTCTTCGTCTTAAACTAATTATTATTATTATGATATGTGTGCTTATCATTACTACGACCAGTCATCCTAGAAATTCGATCATTGCGATTACTTACGAATGCTGTGAGTATTCTTATTACTTGTATCAGTATTACTATTACTATGAGTATTAGCATGATTCGTCTCGGTATTCGTAAAACAATACTATGATGCGTATGAGCGTTACTACTCGGGTATTATTAGTAGTGTTCGTATTAGTGTTATTAGTGTTCGAAGTACTATCCATAGTAGTAGCATTGGTATCATTAGTCGTAGTCGTATGATGAGTACGCTTCCTCTTGTTCACATGCTTATTTCGCCTTAGCATTAGTGTATGTTTTCTGATGACTCGTATCCTTCGTCGTCTTACGTTATTTATTCCTTTTGTTCCTCTTCTTCAAGTTCTTCCTCCTCCTCCTCCTCCTCCTCCCCCCCTCCTGCTCGTCCTCCTCCTCCTCCCCCCCTCCTCCTCCTCCTCCTCCGTCTCCTCCTCCTCCTCCTGGCAATTGGGACGCGCAGTCTCGATTATGGGACACACAGTCCTTGCAAATGGGACGCGCAGTCCCTGTTATGGGACACACAGTCCTGGCAAATGGGACGCGCAGTCCCTGCTATGGGACACACATTCCTGGCAAATGGGGCGCGCAGTCTCGACTATGGGACAAACAGTCCTGGCAAATGGGACGCAAAGTCCCTGTTATGGGACACGCAGTCCTGGCAAATGGGACGCGCAGTCCCTGCTATGGGACACACATTCCTGGCAATTGGGACGCGCAGTCTCGATTATGGGACACACAGTCCTGGCAAATGGGACGCACAGTCCCTGTTATGGGACACGCAGTCCTGGCAAATGGGACGCGCAGTCCCTGCTGTGGGACACACATTCCTGGCAAATGGGACGCGCAGTCTCGATTATGGGACACACAGTCCTGGCAAATGGGACGCGCAGTCCCTGTTATGGGACACGCAGTCCTGGCAAATGGGACGCGCAGTCCCTGCTATGGGACACACATTCCTGGCAAATGGGACGCGCAGTCTCGATTATGGGACACACAGTCCTGGCAAATGGGACGCACAGTCCCTGTTATGGGACACGCAGTCCTGGCAAATGGGACGCGCAGTCCCTGCTATGGGACACACATTCCTGGCAATTGGGACGCGCAGTCTCGATTATGGGACACACAGTCCTGGCAAATGGGACGCACAGTCCCTGTTATGGGACACGCAGTCCTGGCAAATGGGACGCGCAGTCCCTGCTATGGGACACACAGTCCTGGCAAATGGGGCGCGCAGTCTCGATTATGGGACACACAGTCCTGGCAACTGGGACGCACAGTCTCCGTTATGGGACACGCAGTCCTGGCAAATGGGACGCACAGTCCCTGTTATGGGACACGCAGTCCTGGCAACTGGGACGCGCAGTCTCGATTATGGGACACACAGTCCTGGCAAATGGGACGCACAGCCCCTGTTATGGGACACGCAGTCCCCGCGCATTGGAGGATGCCCCATGTAAATCGGAGGTGAGGGGGAGAGATCGAAGTGGAACGGATAGGTGGCAGTGTCAGGCATGGGGGTGGGGGGCTTACCAGCCACCGTGCAAAGGGCCCGCGTGTAGGCCATGGGCGGTCATAGGCCGCGCAGTGGAGGGCATTGGCGCGAGTGTTGCACAGCATAGGAGTGGTAGTAGCCGCATCTTCACAAGTGTTGCATCCAGAACATGGCGTACCACCATTGTTAGGGCACGAAGCGGTAAAACATTACCCGTGCCTTAAACGACAGCCGTGACAATCCTCCTCCTCCTCCTCCTCCTCCTCCTCCTCCTCCT